GTCTATAATCAATATAATATATCAACAAGCTGGAATCGTTAAATTCGTCATCTTCGAGAAAAAAATTATTTTCGTATTCGCACGAAAGCATCTTAATTACCTCAATTGGAAATGAAAGACTCTTTAGTATTTTATGCGTCTCGATAAATTAAGGGACGAAATAATTGGATCTGATCCGACTGGAAGCACCGTATTTTCCATTACTTCCATTACGAATTGGTGGCTTTTTTCTTTCAAAATTCTATTATCCACATTTGCATGGCGTTCAAAAAAACATTGTACAGCCATTTGATGCTCAGCCCGGCCCCTTTTCGCTGTTCCAAGTAGTGACCAAATAGGCTTTGGAGAAAGTGAGGTTATCTAAGAAAAATTCAAATTGCACCAATAGTGGGGAAAAGTGCATAATAAGACTAACAGCCTTTGCTCAGTATTGACAACGCTACAATATACACTTGGACGCATTCAAAATTTTGTATTTCTTCTATTTCAAAACTCTTTCCCAAACTTTGTTTCCCAAAATTCAGGTTAAGGTGCATTTTAAAATGACAAAATGACACGCACAATTTAAACAGTTAATACATTTTACATGTAGTACTAATCTATGAAATCAGTGTCCATTACTATTTTATTTTCAAATGGTGTTTTACACGAATAATCTTATTTAACAAATCACTATGTGAAAATTAAAAACTTAGCGCTCGTGCTTTCGGATGCAACAGCTGACTTTGCAGTTGTTATGTTAACATTTTGATATTTAATAATAATATAAGCTTAATATTTTAAGTATGAGGCATAACAGTTTGATTTTTTTCTAATACATTACCACTAATTTTATTTAAATCAGAGAACTTTTAAAAAATGATTAAATGCAACATCAAGTGGTCAAAAACCCCATAGTGCACTGGTTTATACAAATGTTTAAACAAAGTAGTTTAAAAAAAACCGGTTTCTGGGCTATTGCCGCAACTTGCACTTGAACAAGTTGGATGTGGAGAAAGAAAGGAGTTCAGAACAGTTTGTCTGATACTGATTTTTTTTCATTTTACTTTTAATCTACTATATTTGCTGATTTTCTGATTTTTGAAGAAGAGAAAACTATGGATATAAGGTAGAAGTCGCAACAATTTACCGTTATAACTTTTTTTTAGGGTTTGGCTTTGACTATTAGAATAGAATGCCGTACATTTTTGCAAATGGATCGGAACTAAAAATAGTTGTTTGAGGGATTATGTATAATACTTAAATTAGCTTATTACTTCTTAAATAACTTACTTTATAACTAACCTATATATTATTAAGGCTTATTTATTAAAAATGTGAACGTTATTTATGAAACTATTTTAATAATTTGTGTAATGTGTGTTGGGTATAACTTCATAAATTCTATTGGGAATTGACTCATATAGTGACTTTATGTAATCTAAAGATATTTGACTCCAGGCTGTGTTGATGGCATCTGTTAATATCCGCATGTCTTCGTATTGTCCCCCAGATTCATATACTTTTTTGTCATCCATCCAACGCATTCTCAATTATATTGAGATCCGCAGAATATGAAGGCCACACCATAAGATCCATGTTTTGCTGTCGAATCAAAGTTTTTGTGCTTGTACTAATGGATTAGGGCATTATCCTGTTGGAAAATCCACGACAATGATCCAAAGATGTTTTTTTGTCTCCGGAAACGCTTTCTCGAGCAAGCCTTCGTGATGCGTTGCGTTCATTTTAGAAGACACAATCTGAAGCTTGCATGTCCCATAGTATGTTATAGCACCCCACACCGTTACACCTTTCGCACAGCTATGGTGACGGGGCAAAAAGTGTTCTTCTTAACGCATATCATGAAAAGAAAATGAAGAACCATCTGCTCGATCCAAGTTAAAACGATTTCCATCCAAACTCATAACGGTATGCAATTCTTTCTGCCAAGTCTTATGATAACGTAAAATTATGAGGCGAGAATCCTTTCGTTGGTTATTAAACAGATTTTTTTTATACCCTTGCAGAGGGTATTATAATTTTGTCCAAAAGTGTGCAACGCAGTGAAGGAGACATCTCCGAACCTATAAAGTATATATATTCTTGATCAGGATCACCTCCTGAGTTGATATGAGCATGTCCGTCTGTCCGTCTGTCTGTCTGTTTCTACGCGAACTAGTCTCTCAGTTTAAAGTTATTGACTTGAAACTTTGCACACACCCTTCTATTCTTTGCACGCAGTATATAAATCGGAACGACCGGGATCGGCCGACTATATCCTATAGCTGCCATATAACTGATTGATGGGAAATGGTATAACTTTGGTTTTTTTTAGAGTTAGAGAGTTCAAATTTGACACGAGAGCTATTTTTGGCAAAATAATACGACATGCCAAATTTCATTAGGATCGGCCGACTATATCATAAAGCTGCCATAAAACTGAACGATCGGAAATGACCCAACTTTCGTGTTTTTTAAGATAGAAAGCAGGAATTAAGTACAGATTATATTTTTGGTCAGTTGATCCAACCTACCAGATTTCATTAGGATCGGCCGACTATATCCGATGTTTGCGATATATATCCGGTTTTAGCTGCAAGGGTATATAAACTTCGGCTCCGCCCGAAGTTAGCTTTCCTTTCTTGTTTTTTGTTCAATATTTTCAGATAATAATCTTGTCGTATAACTTTCCGTACTTTATCAACATTGGCATTTAAATGTATTTTTTTATGAATTTTCGTAGCCACACAGTGTGAGTTTGACGCTTCTCTGACGATTTCGGTGTTTTGCAGTATATTAAAAGGTTTTCTCTTTTTGTGCTTCCTTCCATATTATTCCCATAATTTGCAGGGTTCTTAACGAAAATTGCAAATAAAATTGTTTTTTCCTTTTTTTTAGGCATTTTAATGAATGTAAGATTAAAAATCACAAGTTGTTGTAACTTGTAATCATTGGTTTATTGTTTAAAATATTTTTTAATTTAATAATAAAAGCTCTGACTTAACATTCTTGGCTAGCTCTAGGGTGAAGTTGATAAAGGGTTGACAAAGATGAAGAACGTCAGTGGTGAAAAGACATTTTCTAACTCCTTTAATTTATTTTTGGCCCCAATAAAACTCGTAACAATATCGCCAAAGTTGTATATTTTGCGGCTGACGAATTTTGTCTTCTGCTCCAAACTGTACGAAAAAATAACTGGCATGTTAGCCCAGTTCTCCCTAGATCCATCCAAGAATAGAGGACCGTAGAACCATATATTATGTGCTAGCCTGCTGGCAGTAGTTCCTCTGGACTATTGATGTATTCATCAGCATTAAAATTAGCGGATGATACGTGGCGCCATTGAAACTGCTCCGTTACTTCTTGAATATTGGCTATCCGATTTGCCACAAACGTGTAGTAGTTGGACACCGCTGCGTTTATCCAACGCAAAACGACGGATGAGTCTGTCCAAAAGTAGCCAACAACTTTGTCCAAAGACAAACGTATATCCTGTCTGACTCTATGTGTGAGCTCTGCCCCTAGAACTGCTGCGAACATGTGCTGCGAGGTTTGCTTATTTTTGAACTTTTCTCGTACGTATATTGCTGCTTCTTAGACTTTCTTTGAGGAGTCCACAAAGGTGCGTAGTTCCTGTGTGACTGGAACATTTTCATCAAATATGTGTCTTGGGATTCGCAATTTGTTCAATGCTTGAAGGTCGGAGCGATAATTTTTCCATTTTGATTGGAGATCTAACGGGAGTTCGACGGATGAGTGAATTCGCTATGAGCCGAGGATTATCGTAGGATCCCACTATTATGCTCCAAGCATGTTGCTCAATGTGGCGCATTTAGCTCAATGTGGTGTATCAGCCTCTCCCAATTGCCGGATAGCGCGGAATTGAGGTACCAAATTTTTTTTCACTGCTGGCATGATAGTTTCATGGACTATATAGGAAAACATATCGTGGAATTGTTCCACTTCATGATATTCCCATCAAACTTTGGAATATTTATCCGGGGCGTTTGAACATCACTGCGATTCAGCGACGGGCTACCCTTGGCCATAGGGGCGTTCTGCACCTCTGCTGGTATGTAGCTTCAGGTATGCCTGCTTGTTGTATCCACTGTCTATTGGATCTTCCTTTTCCTCAAAGAAGGTCAGGTGGTCCTCGACTTGAATCGATAATGATTTGAGCAAGTTTCTAGGCACACCCTCGGATGCTCTTAAGTTTCACAGAGCGGCTCTTACTGACTCTCCTAGTTGTCCTGGACGACGGCATAGCCCGGAAAATCTTTTATCCATGTGGAGTACTCCTGACACTGATCTTCGACCTGATCTTTAGCGTCTTTCTTACGACTCGTGCTTTGCATTAACTTGGGACGGCCGTCGGTCCCAAGCTTCTTCCAGGACTGCTAGCTTTGTTTGAAAGTATGTTGGCCTTTGATTTCGGCTCGGTCCATCCATCTTATAATTCCCAATGCACCTAGCTGTTTCTTGCATCTAAGAGCTCTTGAATTTCATTCTCCTCAAGGACTGGTTCGGTTATTATATTTGGAGCTATGTTTTCCCTTTTCATCTTTCCGTTCTGACGTACTAGAAGCTGGATGCACTCCGTCTCGCCACCGAAATTGGTCAAAGAATCTTTTATGTACGCGCAAGCATATATGTATTACATTTTCAGGCATTATTTATAATCGCGCAGATCTGCGCGGCGGCTCTCCAGTTCCGATTGGCTCAGGCGAGCGCTGTGGCCCAGCTGGAGCTGTCGATTTGTCAGCTACCGCTTCAGCTAGGGTTAAAAGGGAAAAGCCAGTTGGGGATCATATCTCCTTTAGTCTTGGCTGCTGCGATTGCGCAGTTCTTCGATGCCGCCTGACTGTTTGGTCCAGTGTTGCCAGAATTTCATGGAATCAAATAGCTAAATTAATAGAAAAATAGGCTAGAAATAGCTTAAGGGGTTATATTCATCTTCGCTAGAGCTTATAAATGTACAAATAAAGCAGTGTTGTTATGCTACGTAAAAAGTCAGACGACGGTTGACGGCCAAGACGCCAGGAACCCAGAGTATCTTAGTTACTGATGATGGCTTCCAGGGCAGCCACCACGTCACCGCTCTGTTCCCTCAGCACTTTCTCGGCTTGCGCCTTGCTGACCAGCAACTCGTTCATAATCAACTCTATGTCCTCCTTTTTGACCTGGACTTTTTGGAGCTCCTTCTCCTTGGCCACTCGCAGTTCATTCTCTTTATTACGCTGTTTGCCAAATTGCTCTATGGCGCTGGAAATATTAGCAGCGGATATTTCTTTTTCTTCGGCATAGTCCGTCACCCTTTCCAGATCTGCCGCACCGCCGTCGTGTCTTTTCACATCAGACTTTTTTTGGTTGCTGTCTTGCTCGTCATCCTCCACTTCCGTGCCGTTGACCTCGTGTTCTGCATCAGCCATTTTTACAATTTAAGTTAATTTTATTTAATTTATGCGAAATATTTAGTTTATAATCGGCACTTCGTGCGATTCTTATATACCTTTTTTATTTTCAAAAAATCGAAAATTTTTGTCTTGCTTTATCTTGAAGAAAAACTTCTTAGGAACATTTTCCCAAATTTTCATAGAGATTGGAGCAGTAGAAAAAAAGTAACAGCGCTCCTAACCGCGCGCCTCATTGCTGCCTTGAACTGAACTTGAAACTTTAAACGCGAATATCTCGAAATGGTGTTCCTTGAAAAATGACTTTGCGGTGACATGGATTGGCGGAAAACTACTGAACCGTTTTACTTCCAATTTTTTTTTAAATCTTCGTAATGAAATTCTTCTGTGCTTGAACGATCGACTTTTCACGCAAAAAGTTCATTTTTAGCATAAAACGTTCCCGTATGAATAAAATAAATAAAAATTTTAAAATCGATCGTTCAAGCACAAGGAAATACACTAAACTAATGAAATTTTTTTACTTTTATGGTTTAAGTTGACCTGTTTGACCTGGGGAACTGTCACCGCAAAGCTCTAAAAAACAAAAAGCCTCTAAGGGAAACAGCCACCCCTTAAAAACTATTTAATATTTTTCCACCAAATTTTGCACAAACATTGTTAATAAAGTGTACTATCAAAAAATTAAAACATCCCTGTAATTAAATAATTGCTACATACCTAAAAAAAATCCGAACTTTGCTCTTTTTTTTCGACAAAGAAGGTATATAACCCCTTAAAAAAAAAAAAACTGCTAAAAAAATTGCTAAGTTTTGTGTGCTATTATACCCTTCGGAGGGTATTAAAATTTTGTCCAAAAGTGTGCAACGCAGTGAAGGAGACATCTCCGACCCTACAAAGTATATATATTCTTGATCAGGATCATCTCCTGAGTTGATATGAGTATGTCCGTCTGTCTGTTTCTACGCAAACTAGTCTCTCAGTTTTAAACAGATAATACAGATAAAACTGATACTCTTGGTACAGATAATATTTTTGGTCAGTTAATCCGACCTACCAAATTTAATAACGATCGGCTGACTATATCTTATAGCTGCCATATAACTGAACGATCGGAAATGGTTTTTGGTAGAAATACCAACTTTGGTATTTTTGAAGATGGAAGTTTGGGACTTTTTTTAGATTTTATATTATAATAAATTGGGTAATTATATAAATTATAATAATAAATCATATTCTCATAAGGATCGGCCAACTATATCCGATGTTTGCGATATATATCCGGTTTTAACTGCAAGGGTATATCAACTTCGACTCCGCCCGAAGTTAGCTTTCCTTTCTTGTTTTTAAACTGTTTTTATTAAAATAATGCAGAATTGTTGTCAATATCAATGGCGTCCTAGACCAAATTTTTATATTTATTAGATTCTGATACCATTTTTTAATATGTTTTTGGCAATGTGTAGTTAAAACAACACATCCCACTTCTTTTGAGTCCATATCTGTAAATGAACATTCATTTTAGAATTTTAGTTATTAATGTAGCCTACCTTATGGCTAAAATAGCATTTAAAGTTTTTTTGTGCATTCTATTTCTCATTTTACCTTTTTTGACTACCTGCACTTGGCTACATACGCGTTCTACCTTTGCGTTCGAACAAGGAAGACTCAAAATTTGGAGTGCGAAGTGTGCTAACGGTGCGAATGTATTGACTGCTCCGGTGGCGGTACCTATTTACCTATTTCTATCGGTACTATTTTAAAAGTGCCAAAAGTAGCCAAAACTTAAAAAAATTCTAAATTTCTAGCTAATAGCATTTCACAAAATCTTATAGCTTTCGCAGTTTCAAAATAGCTAGTTCTAGCAATAAAATAGCTAAAATTGGTTTGGTCGTCCTCCAGACACACCGAATAGGATATTGGTGCCATTCAATAGGATATTGTCAAAGAATGTCTGGATCTCCCTATTGAACAGTAACTCCGCTGCCGTAAACTTTGTGATGGTGTGACGATATCAGTGTGACGATTTAGTTCGGAAGTCGATTTTACGGGGCAAATTTTAAGCCACTTCGTAAAGGAATCAACGACTAATACAAACGTGTTCCCTTGGGATGGTGCGGCGAAATGAATGTGGCAGGGACCCTGGTTTCTTGGCAGACTCTCAGTAATGTACGTCCGATCATGAAAAGAAATTGCGCGTATGTTGGCATGCTAAACATTTTCTTTTCAAACATTGTCTTTTCGATATCTGCAATGCATATATGTGCAATGTGTAATGCAGAGAGAATTTCCTGCCTTTCCATAAAGAGAATAGCTGCGCGACTATCCCAAAATAATATTTCTTGGTTACTGGTCAGCTTATTTCGCCGAACAAGAAAGAGTTCATTTTGCTGAACTTTAGCATACATGCATGGTAAGTTAAGTTTAATGAACCTGGAGAGTATTGTATTAGGATCGCATGCGATCAAATTCATTAGTTCTGCGAATACTTCGTTCTTTCACAGAAGTCTATGTAATGGCTCCGCAATGTTGGCTTTCTAGGGCAAGAATGAGTGACAAAAATTGGTCAGTCCCAGAAAAGCTTGCAATTTTTCTTTTTCTTTTTGCAGTGGCTACTGAGTTTACTACTACTACTACTAGTTTTATCGGCTGGTGGCCAAATGACGAGAGCGTCAACTTTGAATCCGAGGAATTCAAGGGAAATTTTTCTTTGGGCAGTCGCAATCTTGCTTTGTCTATACGGCCTAGAACTTCGTTTAGTCTACCCGAAAGTTCTTTTTTTGATTTACCCGTGAATTAATTTATATTCCGTCCTTCCAGCCAATTTTAGAAATTTTAGATATAGTATAGAAATAGAATAGTAGTACGGGGACTGATTATAGGGACGATGATTTGCCCGTGGCTGCAGCTCGATCTGCAAAAGTGAAGTGAGGAAGATTGACCTCAGATGGCAAGATCGCTGCGCCAGATAATGCAGTACCATACATTTTGGAAAAGCTTTTAAATTTAAGTGGGCATTAGAGGAGTCTCCATCTAAATCCTATGGTCTATGAGATCCACGTGTTCATACCGACAGACTGACGGACGGATGGACGGACCGACAGACGGACATGGAATATAGACTTGGCTGTTGGTGCTAATTAACAATTAATATACTTTATGAGGTTGGAGATGATTGCTTATTAATGTTACATTAATTGAAACGAATACAAGATACCCTCATACTCTACTCATACCGGGTATACAAACGGAAAAAATTTACAACAAAAATTGAACATTTAAGAAAAATATAATTTCCTTTGCACAATTTAAATTATTTTATCATAAAATCTTAGTTAAAATATGGTATTAAGTGTTTGAATGTAAACATATAGACATATTTGGATCCGAGAGTTGAAGAAAGGATCATATGAGGATCAGCAAAACAAAACATTAAATGTTCGAAAAGGTTTCGTCAGGGAAAGAAATGCGTGCAATACTTCAAAAGCCAAACGTCCCATCATGAGATAGATAAACTACTCCAAACCAGATAAATTTGGGGTAATGAGACTCCAATTCAAAATTTCATCACAATGCGAAACATTGCCCAGCAAGACAAGTTTGACGAGATGACGTCGTCAAGTCAACGTCCCATCGTTGATGGATCGATGGAGTTTACGTTTGGCAATCAAAGCGATGGGTTGTGTTTCTCTCCCAAAGCAAACTACAAAGCGGGTCAAGATTAAGTGACAAACACTCAAACAAACATACACACAGTTCTATAAATAGATCTTTCAGTAAGTGCACCGGTTGTGACAAGCTTATAGCGAATATAAAACGCTTATAGCCCAAATAATCATTCGTGATCCATCATTCGTAGGAAGGAAAAACCTTCATAGACCAGTAAATTCTTAATAATATCAAGAACCTATGTGACATCCTTTGCAGGATCTCTCTCTTTAATATCAAAAAAGGTATTGATTTAACATGCGGAGCCGTAGTCGTCAGTTGACAATCAAAAGCCATTGAACAAGCTGAAAAACTCCTCAAGCTCACGAACATACTTCACATACCCGTATCCAGTGTTTAAAAAACTGCAGTCGAATTAGCAGAAGTCACAATATTTTTGCTATTTGCTACTTCGACTGCGAGCGATATCAAAAAGTTTGCAATTGCTTTTGCTTCTGCTTTTGAAAAAGTCAGAAGTCGTATGCTTTTCGACTTACGCATCTGAACAAAAGCAAAAGCGACAAAAATCAAAAGTAGGAAAAAGCATAATGCATTACTTTTCGCGATTGTGACTGCCGAGAGCAGTCGAAAATTGCAACAGCAAAGCAGAAAGCAGAAAAACAAAATCTGTTTTTTTCAGAAGCAGTAGCAGAAGCAAAATCATAAGAACTGAAATTTGCCGCAGATTTTAAACGCTGCCCGTTTCATTCTCAGAACACCGAACGCTGAACTGCTCAAGGGGTACAATATACTCAAACGATCTAAGAGGTACTGAAGAAGAACAGATCCTTGAAAACTTAAAAGGCCAATAAGTGCCGCAGTTAGGAAAATTATTAAGTATATTCTAGGAGAACCGACCAAAACTGGACTAATCACCCTAACATTCGAAAAGTTAGACCTACCGGATTACATATATACATATAGGATACGATACGCAGGATACGATACGCACCTTATGTAACATCTGCCTCATCCTCAAAAATTATGCAAATAAACTAAAAAAATTTTTATAATACAGAGATGCTTTATGTGTAGCCAACCTGCCCATATTGACATGACAATTTGAGAAAAAGCGAGCGTGGATCCTGCAATTTCACCGAAAAAAAGATGCCGGCTAATAAACACCATCCCAGAGGAGAAACTGATTTCTTACCCATAAATAAGCACAGGCCATCAGAACCCTCCAAAAAGTAGACAACAGATCGGCCTGGTATGGCTTGCAACAGATGCATATAGGGATCCGTCATGCTAGTGTCTCTTCCTGTATATGGTATATGGTACATATGGTATGGTATACATGTTATGTATATGTTATATGGTACAGGAAGAGACACCAGCATGACGGATCCCTATATGCATCAGTTGCAAGCTCAACGCAAA